TTTAGAGTTTTCACCAAAAGTATTTTTTATCTTGTGCAACATGGAAACTTTAGGAGGAATTGGAGATTTTCCCTCACTGGTAACAGGCAGACACTGAAGAGAGATCATGAAGACAAGAAGATTGTGGTTAATAGAACAGCAGACAAATGGGTAATACGACAGCAACTGGATGATACTTGGTGAGATTGCTGGGATAATGAACTTCTGAGGATACCCTATTGTGAGCAGTTTGAAGACTTAGGGAGAGGAGTTTAGGAGCTGCCTCTCATATGGTGGAGACTGTATATGTGGAGGGAGAGAATCCTACTCTAAAACCAAAGAAAAGATTTTTCCCTACTCCCACTCAGACATTCTGGGGAAAAAATGACTATTTAGAAAGTGAATGAAATTCAAACTATGTGCATTTCTCTAGGAATTTTCCTTCAAATAGAACTCAACTTAGGCTACTACGTCCAGTCCACCTTTTTAATCCAAAGTGAAATGCCAAACTCAAGACCAAGAAGCATCAGAAGCAATATTAGATCAACTGGTCAAAAGGGCCATTATTAAAACTATTTATATTTGCCAAAACAAAAATCCATGTTTTTTTCACCTAGAGAAGCCAACTTCCCCCTCATTGTTTCCCTGCCCTCTCTTTACTTTTCCTCTTGCAAACATGCAAAATCCGTCTTCATCTTTTCCTCTTTCTCATCTGGATGCCAAAGAAACCATTTTAGCTTTGTTTTCTTGTTTCAAGAAAGCAGCCGAAGGCCAGAGAATAGTGTGTTTTAATTCATTTTGAAAAACAAACTCACACAGATTGATTCTTCAGGTCCCCTGACTTGGACCTGGCACATTAAGAAGTCCAAACAACTCTGCATAGTTACATTAATCGTGTTCTTGTGCTGCAAAGTCACTGGATGCGGGTAGCAGTGAAACATTCCCAAGACAATCACTAAACATGCAGAATGCCAGCCAGAAGCATGAATCACTTTCAGGGGTCTTGCTGCAGGGAGCATGAGGTTGTATTTTGTGTGCATTGACAACTGTATAGGATAAGCCAGCTGTGTCCGAGGGAGCAAAGCAACCCCTGTTCTTCTGAACCTAAAGGGGTTTCCTCCTCAAAGAACCATGTTTTCAATCCCTAAACTTTGGGGCCAGATACAGCTCCAAGTGGCATTTGTTGCTCTTTGGAGAGTCAAAGCCAAGCCACCATGAGCATGAAAGCTGTGTGAGCCACTCCTTCCCTCCTCCCCAGCATGGAAAGAATAATTGCCATTTCACCCTACAAATCCAAAAGAGTCTTCCCCATCCCTGGGTTCAAGCACGGACACAAGCCAAGCAAGCCTCGGATACCCAGGCCTGTTTGATTGTAGCTATGTTGGTGTATCTCGTGTACGAGGTGGGAAAGTGCTTTTGTTGTTCTACCTGATCCAGTTAGGGGAGCAGGACTAGGGGGTGCCTGCCTAATGGTCCCTAGCCCATGTGCTTATACTGGGATCTGTCCCGAGGGATCTGCACCTGGTTGGCAGTCATTTTGTGGTGGACGTGGTAAATTGCGAGTGTTACCACAATGACGAGGCCCAAGATGAGCCCCAAAATCAGGGGCAAGGTTTCTTCCAGTTGCTCCCGCTCATCCACTGGGCATTTATGCTCTGAAATGGGAAAGAAGAAAAGCAGTAAGCTCTGGTCAAAATATTCTGAATCATAAGTTCTACAAAACAAAAAGGGAAATGGAAGTAAAAAGATTTCTCAAGGAAGCTTTGGGACTATTTTTCAGAAACAGTTTTCCCTAACCAACCCGAAGGTTAACACTTAATCTTTCTACATAATGTATAATAAAAATGCATCAATTAAATAGGACAACATTTAATTATTGGATTCCTGGCAGATGTCAACAAACCATCCAGGTAATCTATTTAAAGGTTCAGAGTTTCACCATTAGACACAATCATCATCATTTTTATTGTTGATTCATTTTTAACTTTTTATTAAAGTAATATGTACACATAATACATTGTATAAAAATATATAAGTTTCAAAAAGACTGAAAATACCAAGTGTTGGTGATGATGTGGAATGACTGGAACTCGTAACACCCCTGTTGAAAAATGTCGTGACCACTCTGCAAAACCGTTCGATAATTTCTAATAAAGACAAACATACGCAGCATCCCATTCCTAGGTATTTACCCAAGGAAAATGAAAACATAAAGAACACAAAAAGACTCGAACATAAATGTTAGTAGCAGCTTTATTCATAATAGCCTAAAACTGGAAACAACCAAAATGTCCATCAAAATGGAATGGATAAATTGTGGCATATAGTCATATAATGGAACACTAGTCACTAATAAAAAGGAATGAACTATGGCTACACATAACAAAATGAGTACATCTCAGAAATATTATGCTGACACAAAATTGCCAGACACAAAAGAGTGTATACATACTGTATGATTCCATTTATATGAAGTTCAAGAACAGGTAAAACTAACTTTGTGGTGATAGAAGTCAGAATGTGCTTATATCTGGGGAAAGGAACACAAGGGAACTCTCACCTGTGATGGAAATATTGTAGATCTTGATCTAGGTGATGTTCACATGGTTGCAAATATAGGTACAAAAGCATTAAACCATACATTTTAGATTTGTTTATTACTGTGTTATTTTTTATTTATACACACTAATCATACATTTTTATGGGATACATGTGATATTTTGTTACATGCATACACTGTAATGATCAAGTCAGGGAATTTAGGATATTCATCACCTCCAGAATTTATCATTTCTATGTGTGGAGAATGTTTCAAGTCCTCACTTCTGGCTATTTTGAAATGTACAACACATGGTTGTTAACTATAGTCACCCTACTCTGCTATTGAATATTAGAACTTATGCCTATCTAACTCTATGTTTGTACTCAATTACCGACCTCTCTTTAGTCCATTCTCCCCAAAACACACACACACACACACACACACACACACACACACACATCCTTCCCAGCCTCTGGTATCTCTCTACCTCCCTGAGGTCAATCTATTGAGCTCCCACATGTGAACACATGCAATATTTGTCTTTCTGTGTTTGACTTATTTCACTTAATGCAATGTTCCAGTGCCATCCACATTGTTGCAAATGACACGATCTCGCTCTTTTCAATGGCTGAATAGTATTCAGTTGTGTATACACACCACATTTTCTTTATCTGTTTAAGTGTTCATCTGTTGATGGACACTTAGGTTGATTCCATAACTTTGCTATCGTGAATAATGCTGGGATAAACATAGGGGTGCATGTAATATATGTAAATTATACTATAATTTTTAAGTAAGTGTAGAGCTTGATGAATTTTTACAAACGAACATCTCATGTAACCAACATCTAGATCAAGAACACAAATGTTAGCAGCACCTCAGCATTGATTTATTTTTCACCCTCCTAAAATTCAAGATAGCTTCGTAGTGCTGAGTCTCCATTTTTTTACATAGAACCACCAACAACAAAAAACTATTCTTGGGAGACATTCTAGTGGTCAGTTTGTCAGGCTAACCAGAATTGCATTCCTAGAAACCAGAACAGGCTCATTTGCTTCTTGTGGGTAACTGGTGTCCTTTTAACCAAAATCAGGAGCCACAAGTGAAAAATAAACAAGCTTTACATGTCTCTTCATAAAGTCCAAGTTTTTAAAGTCCAGATGACCAAGTAAACATTTATTAAGTACCTACTGTATGCCAGTCTCCTCCAGAATCTCTATTGACATAGTCCCTTCTCTTACCTTGCCTGAGATCAGCAGAAAGGAAAAGGGATGAGCTTTTCTCTCTAATAATAATTAGTGGAGACTTACTTTCACATATACAGCTTTTGAAAACTGTATACTTGACATTCCTAGTCCCTAAATTAACAGTCAGTTCTAAGCACAAAGATTATCTGGTTAACCCTCTGAGGTACACAATATTATTATACTCATTTTACACATAAGGTAATCAAGTCATAACGATGATAAGTGGTTTGCACAGGGGTAAATGAAGTCTGATCTGAACTCAAACAACTTAACACTATAGTTGGGGCAGCACTTAACAGACCTAAACTACTGGCATTAAAAGGCTGCAGAATCCCAAGGTGGAGCAGAAAGGAGAGTTTGTCAGTTCGGTTTCCTGATCTGCATGCTGGTTGCAGAGGTTCATCCAGCATCTGAAAATTCAACGAGCTGGATACTTATTACAAAGGGGCACAAGGAAGCTTTCCAGGGTGATGAATATGTTGATTTCTTGATTGTGGTGATGGCTTCACAGGTGTATTCATAAGTCAATATTTATTAAATTACATGCTTAAATGCATACAACAATTGTACCTAAAAACAACTTTTCATATGTGTATGTGTGTATAAAAATACATATATGTATATGTATCTATACAATATACATATATATAATAGAAAAAGACATTCTTCTAGAAATAGCTTTTTTAAAAGATAGTTTGGCAAATGGTAAAGAAATGTTAAGGACTTATTAGGACTAAACTGAGCCTTTCTTCTTATTATAACCAAAAGGTTGGAAAAGAATTTGCAGGGAACTTTTTCCCCCACTATTTGATTCCATTCTAATGAGTCCCAACACTTTGAGGGTCAGACTGGACCGACACATCCATTACTCCAGGGACAAGACCTGAGATGACACAGTGTATCAGAAAGAGTGGCAGACCTAGAACTTCATGATGCCAGCATTGCGGTCTTCTTCTCCAATATGATACCATATTGCCTCTTTGAAGAGAACAATGAATAGAAATGGGATCATGTGGGGTAGGAATTTTGTTAACAACAAAGGTTATTTATTTTCCTCATGATAACACCCTGTTGCCCATGTAATGTTAACACAGATTGCAGGGTTTGATTGGTTTGCAGGCGCTAGTGGCAACCTCATGCAATTTTTTCTTACTTAATACAATACATTGAATAGAAGCAAATAATTTTTAAAATATTAAGAAGAAATACACTGAGTTCAAATTATTTAGTAATAAGGCTAAGTCTGTTTTAAATGGTAAAAATAAAAAAATAAATTATCTCACAAAAAAATAGCAAAGACCTCAGGACCTTCAGACTCTCTTCTGTGCACCATTCCAGGCTGCTACTTGAGCAGACCCCAGGCATCTTTACAAGGTTGCCCTTGTGGCCCTATCCTGTGTCTCTTCTCTTCTTAACTCTCTCCCCTGCAGAGCAATTTCATAGTTACCCAGACTGTCAGACCATGGTTTTAGCTCACTTCTCCCTGCTTACACTCTAGTTGCCCAGGCACACAATCAGCCAGGAGCCCCAAATACAACATCTATCTCCCTAGGCAGAATGGGAGAGGCAATGGAGAAAGAGTTGTGTCTGGGAGCAAGAGCTTACGTAGCAAAACCACTGGAGAACATGGACAGGTGGTGTTCTGTGTGGCCCCAACTACAGGTATTCAGGACAGGGAGGGTGGTGAGTTAAGAAAGCTTCAGGAGGAAGGGAGGTTGGAGTTGGATTGGGAAGAATCCGGGAATGGGGCACCAAACGACCTTGACCAATTTGTAAAGTCATGTTTTCTCTTTTCTCTTGGTTTGTACCATAACAATGAATAAATAGATATACAGATAGATATAGTTGTAGAAATAGAGATATACATGAACTTTTAGTGGTTCCATAGATCCAGATTATCACATCAAGAGGGAGTAGATGTAATGGAACATTGTGAGGGAAAGAGATGATAGTGGGTTCAGATCCCAGATCTTCCACTGTCACTCTGGGCGAGTCTCTTAATCTACTAAACTTCAGTTTCCTGTAAAATCGAGATGACACGTACTTTACAGGGTTGCTGTGAGTGTCAAATGTCATACTACAGAAGGCCAAGCACAGTGCCTGGCACAGAGTAGCTTTTCTATCATTGTTCACTATAAAAATAGAAGTCTTACACATTTAAGTCTTCTATGTACTTCTTTTAAGTACGGGAGCCTTTGGAGCTCAAGTACCAAATGTATTGTTTCTAAATGGATAGTAAAAAGAATGTCTCATATCCCGTTCTTTAAGAAAAATAGAGAAAAGTTGATACAGTATGGTAAAAGAAAGGGAAAGAAAAAATATGCTTAGAATGCTATCATGATTTATTTCTCAGATGATTATCTTTTTTTGCGTTAGGAAAAAAATAGAATTAATCACACCACAGAAAAGGGCAATATATAGAGGATACCAACTACAAAGATGTCAAAAAGTATCATAGCTAATACTAAATCCCTCACTTACCAACCCCTATCCAGTAAGTGGTCAAATAAAAAGGAATTCCTGAGCCCACTCTCTTATCCACTGTTTCAAAATCTGCAAAGCTCTGAAAACAAAAAGTACTTTGTAATCACTTGTTTGGCAGCAAAATTAGTCTAATGTGAGGCTGCTTGCAGTTTTCAGTCATCCTACTTAGTATGACGTTTCACATGTTACACCACAGGAAACAGAGATATTAGTATGTTTGATTGCATGGGGCTGCCCTGACTCTTCTGTGGTCTTATGTAATCTATAAACTGTGCACTGCATAGTCTTCCTAAAGTCTAAAATATTCTGAATTCTGAAAACCATCTAGCGCCAAGGTTTTTTGTTTGTTTTTTTGTTTTTGTTTTTTTAGTTCGATCTGGGTTTTAAATGAGGGATTATGAACCCATAAAAGCAGGACATGCTTTTCTCTTTCAGGCTTAAGACAGTGCTTTTAATCTCTGCCTATGACCCATGGAAAAAAAAAACAATATTTTACGTGGCAGCTTAGAGCATATGTACACACAGAGACCTAAAGCAGAAGTTTGACAAACAATAGTTATCCTTGCTTTATGCATCTAATAATTTCTGCTCTATTCTATTCTGTTTCATTTAAAACAATGCTGTTCATGACCTACTAAGAAAAGGTTGTAATCTTTTTTGTGCAAGTATAATAAAACTAAGGACCCCTTCTCAGAATAATGTTTATGAATACATAAAAAATAAAATAAACACAATTACAAGGGAAAGTGAAATTCAGTCATCACATATTTTTAAAAGAATTTCAGATACAGCAACATATGTACTTCCTTATTGGAACACATACATGTTGGTTACGATTATAAAGTGGTGAGAAGCATAAATGTTACTTTGCAAGATCTGCACAAACTAATGTGAGATGAAAATACCTATGATGTCTATTGGTGACAGTCACAGGTACTGCTAGTACTACTGTGGTCTGTCACCTTCATTTGTAAACAAAGGAAGTGCTAAATATTAAACAGAAGTTAGTGAAAATAAAGATAGAAATCTTTTCCTCTGAATTCTACCTATAAACCATATATACCCCAGAGTTAAAATCTTATACTGTAAACTGATTATGCAACCCGCAGATTACAAAACAAGCTTCCTTGTTTTGTATCTGCAGAAATCTCCTCTGATTTCTTCCAGGGAGAAGAATATCTGTTGGCTTAGCCCGGACCTCATCTGGCTTCTGCTCTCCCTGAACCCCTGACTCCCTGTCCACCTCCACAGGACTTAGGGTCCCTCATGCCTCTGCTCTTGGTGGACTCAAGGCTCCAGAGTACACACAACAGGGGCCCAGGGTAAGTGGCCTTGGCTGGAAGAGACAAAAACCAGCCTCATCATTGGAAAGAACCAGATGAAGACAAAACAAACAATAAATTAATAATCTGTGGCTGCCAGTTGCCAACAAAAGTCTTCTCAACCCTTAACCCAAGCGTACCCACTAAAATCATAATTTATCTTAGGTACTGGTTGCTAGATAAGTGTTTTATTTCACGACAGCATTTTAAAATTATATTGACTCCCTCAGATAAACTACAAGAGTGCTTCATTGCACCCCCAATGAACAGCTTTGGGATAGGCAAGGGAAGCAGAGGCAAGCTCTCTGCTTCCCCAGGCTCTCCTAGCACCATGGACAGAAACCGTTTGAAGAGGAGGGCAAGCTTTTTGTGGGCTGTGCTTCTCTTATTGTTTGGCAAGGCAAGATAGAGAAAGGGTTTGACCCTCTTTCCGTATGTTCCCTGGGCTGGCTCTGGACTCCTGTCACATCAGCCAAATGTATTTTGTATACTGAGAAGTTGTTAAGGTGAGTGGGCTGTCGAGACCTTTGACTGGAGACAAGCTGATACCCTCATTGAGATGTAAGCATTCGCTAGACACAGTGGCATCACCACCCAGCTATTTGGGAGACTGAGGTGGGAAGATTGCTTATGCCCAGGAGTTCAAGGCCAGCCTTGACTCCCATCTCAAAAAAAAAAAAAGATTTAAGTATTGGAGAAGAAAAAAAATAATAAGAGCAAGTATTGTTTGATGCCACTGTATGCCAGGAACATGACTTGCACTGTATACACCCTATCCCACTTGCATTGTATATAACCTATCCCACTAGACTGAAAGTTTCAGCGAGGCAGAAAAAGTTCTTATATCCCAGTACCTAGGTGTAGTGGACACAGACACTGCCCAGTCTTCTTTCGGCATTCACCAGTCCCATATATCCCAATGGGTTTTGACTACAGAGTAGGTCAGAAGTCCCAGGGAGTTCATGCTTCCACAGTGACCATCAGTGATAGATGGCACTTGGTGGGTAAACACTGGTTTTCTCACCCTCAGGTGAGATAATTCTGAGACATATCCTATGCTGTCTCCAGAGGACAGTATCCGAAGCAAGAAATTCTATGACTGGCTAACTCCATGGCTGAAGGCTGGGGCTCCATCTTGGAGTCCTCAACACAATTCTCAGCTGTGTTCATAACAGATTATTTCCCTTTGGCTGCTTACTCAGGAAGCCTTGAGGACCAACTGTCTAGGGTAGCATGTGTATTGACAGGGAAGTGCCAGGTAAATCACAGGTCTACAAAACTTTCTGGATCAGCAAACCCTTCATGCGTTTGTGACATGACAGCTTGCCACAGAATGCTCTACTGGGGGGCTGGTGGATAGAGAAACGTAAGCCATGTTCATTTCCACTAACACTAAAGTTCCCACAGATCCAGGTAAAATACAGATTAAGTGGCATTTCCCAATTATGATGCTAGAAACAATATTAAAAAGCTCATGAATTTGCGGTACCCAACAAACTCTGTAAATGCCTCTCACACTCACATGCTGATGATAGCTACTCAGCAGGAGCAGCTGTGGCCCTCAGATACTAAGGACAAAAGCTCTGATACTCAAAGACAGGTTCTAGGAGGGAAGCCTTCACCAAGTCACTTCACCTCCCCGAGTCTCAGCTGCTCCATTGTAAATGGGGATCTCAGTATCTTTCTGCAGTTCTGTTTGTTTGTTTTGGTGTGTTTTGTTCGCCCCTTGAGAGATAATTAAAAAGGGACCAACCTATAGGTGATGTCTTTTAAATGCCTGATAGACCTGAATCCTGAATAAAGGGAAATAGAGGTAGCCTTCCTATTCTATTATGTTGTTTCTGACATAGTACAAAAAAGTTTCTTTTTACTCAAGCTATTAGAATACTCAGGCTGGTTTGTTCCCTCCCAGCGACACATCCCCCATCCCATCTCAGCCAGAAATCACATGGGGCTCTCCAAGGGAATTGCGGGCCTTTGATGAGGCCCTCAAGAATTAATTGTGGAAGAACAAGGTAATCAACCCCAAAAGAGAAACAGAGTGCCTCAGATTGCAGGGGTGATAGCTTCTATTGCAGGGGTGATAGCTTCCATTGCAGGGGTGATAGCATCTATTGCAGGGGTGATAGTTGCTGTACAAAGTGTATTTGGTAAATAAATGAGCCAAAGATGGCCTCTGTGTATTGACCTGTAGGTGGTGTATTTCTTCACTGCAGGCTGAGACTTTAGCTTAAAAGCCTGTTGGCACCAAACTCCCACATTTTTACGCATCCAATTATTTTTAAAATAGCTTAAACAAGAAAATTTGCAGCTGTTTAGAGCCTGCCTGCTTTGCATACTCCTTGAAACCTCATGCAACAGCTGTTACCCATTGAAAAGACAGGGCCTTGGAGTTATAAGGCCCCAAGGCACTGCTACCTCTAGAAGCTCTGGGACCCATGGACTCCCTGCTGTGCCGCTGAGCAGATGTCACCTAGACTCATAAACCCCTCTCCAAAGCCCCTCTGCTTTGGCCATTCCCTTGTCCTCTTCTTTTTCTGGATGGCGGTCCCATAAGCCTCCCTCTGGACAGTCTCCTGCTGTGAGGGGCTTCCCTTCTCATAAAACCCTGTCCAAGTGTCTTCCAAAGAAGCGTATTGTGCCCTTAATCCTTCAAACTCTCTATAGTGCTCCATGGGCCAGCAGCATCACCTGAGACCTTGCTAGCAACAGAGCGTCTTGGGGCCCACTCCCAGACCTAAGTGAACCCAACTCTGAGTGCTAACAATATCACCACAGTCATTGCACGTTGCAGCTGAAGGTTCATGAGCAGATTGCTGGGCTGAGACTTTTGTTTGGGGATCAGTGTAGTAGCCAAGTACAATGCACTAAAGGGACTCGTGTGATAAAGATGTCAACCTCCATTTGGACTGCTCTCAGCCCTTGTGAGTGTCCACATACTGACTTTATGGACCCTTTCTTGATTTTCTTATAAAGTCTATTCAGTAGACAGATGTGAAGACTGCCAGGTATGACCCCCTTACACAAGGAATAGACTCTTTGCAGGAAACCATTATGCTGTGCTGGACAATGGCCATGGTCCAAACACATGAACACACAAACACACACACAAACACATACACACACACGAACACACAGACACACCCCTGCAGTAGGTGTGCAGATATATGACATAATACTCCCTCCCCATGCAAGCATATTCCACTCACACACACACACACACATACACTAAAAGCCCCCTGAGCTTCTATTCTGGGGACAAAAGCCCAGTGCTAGATCCTGAAAAGGCAACCAAAAGGAATCTTTAAAATTCCACCAAATCGAAAATAATGATCTCTTACAAAACACAGTCGGGGCAGGTGCTGAGAGGCACAGACAGGAGGAGCCAGGAACAAAAAAAATGCAGTCACACAAAGGCACACTGATCCAGTGTGCGATTCTGAATGAGGCTTGCCACCTCCCAGGAATGTCAAGGGGTAAGCCTGGGGACACCATACACAAGAGAACATCCTAATTATTAGCCAGAAAAGCCTGGAGTGAGACAAGTGTCATTTGCTTGTGACTTCTCTATTCGCATTTAGGAAGTTATATGTGGTTATAAACTCTCTATCTATCCAGCAGCCTTCCCTATCTAGGACCTTGAAGTGGATCAAAATTGGTTTTAAAAGAAAAGATACCGTTTACTCCATGCAATGAATTGTATGGAGTTTTAGGAAAGTGGCTCTGCTCCTTATTCAGTGCTTATTTATTCTTACTTTATAAACAGTTCTAAAAATCTATGAGGTTTGATTTCTCAGGCCAGAGCCTGTTTGGTGCCATCGGGCTTTTGAGCTAAAGTCTCAGCCTGCAGTGAAGAAGCATTTTCTCACTCTAAGAATTTCTCATTCTAAGCAATGACTTAGAGATAACACAGAATGGTAAGGAGCTAGGAGAAGCAGCAATTATAGCAGCAGTGGTAACAAGAAGTAAAGAAATGCCTAGTAACAGCTAATCAGCAAAAACTAGAAAGTCATTATAAACTATTAAGAGTACCCATATAAACTCAAAAACATTTATGGCAGGGTCCTGGGCACTAGGAAGTGACATTACATAGTCCAATTATTTTCATAATAAATTCCTTGTCATCAATAATCATAATAAGTCAAATTATATTTGATTATGCTTAATATTTTCAGTTTAAGAAAGACACTATTACATTTTATAAATACTTCCATAAACAAAAGGATTTTAAAAACCTGTTAAGGTCTTGACACAGTTTAGTAGCTCCAACTTTATAGAAAATACATTAACATGGGATAACCTAGCCTTACACCTGAACAGGTAAGTGTGACACTGCTTTACTAAATATATGACATTCTGATTTGCATGATATGGCAGCATTTGGAAGTCTCTACTAATTAAATCCACACCGTCAAAATATAAACTCAGTCAGAGTTAACTGGATATCTGCAATATGCCAAGCACTGTGTATTAGGTGCTAATAATATAAAAATGAATAAGAAATGGGCCCTTTTCTTGAAGACAATTTAACTTAGGACTTCTTAAATGCCTTCTCAATAATCAAGGTGGAGGGTGGTGCATTCTGTTTAGTAATAGGTTGAGTGGAAGCTGCATTTTTTGAAAGCTAGATACCTTGGAAAATGATCATAGATGAAAAAGGTGGAGATTCTCTAATATCCTGAACATTGGAATTGTTGTATTCACCGGGGGTCTCCAACCCAAAGAAAGGCACAAACAAAGCAATCAAAATTTTTTCTGATTTTTTTATCCATGTAGAATAAACAGAATATAAAATGTAATAACCTCCTTTGTGAGGGAGAGAGAATAAATGACATGAATCCACTTATCCCACACTTGCCTAAAGTAAATTGTTGCCGGACTTGAGCAAATTGCAGAAATTTTGACTCCCCTTGTGCCCTACCTCTGCGGGGGTGCTGAGAATGAAAGAATGTGGTTGACCTGAACCTGCCACAGCACAGCTGGGTCCCCTTTCAGGGGCTGCACACACTGAGAGACAGCCTTGTTCCACACTCTCAGCAGAAGCAGCTGGGGTTAAATGGCTCAGCCTTCAGGAACCCTTCCCTCCCTGGAGCTTAAGGACATCCTCCTCCTGAAGGTGCTTGGTGGAAAGACTTCTGAGTCTAAGACCTATGCATACACACCCACCCCTACTGCATTCTGGATGCACAGAAACTTGGACTCACAGCAGCAGAAGCTTCAGCTAGAAGTATCCAAGAGAACAAGAAGAAACTGAAGCCCAGAAAGGCAAAGACCCTTCCCCCATCTGTAGCTCTCTAGATTAACTAACTTCTTAAAGATTTTAGCTGCTTTCTCCTTGGGAAGTTTGCATCAAAATTACAGTTTTTTTCCAAAGTGACTTTTTAAATCTTTCTCCCTATAAAGGTTCATCTTTTGACAAAGGAAAGAAGATGGGGAGAGAGGGAAAGATGAAATATAAGAAGGAAGGGAAGAAGGTAAAGAAAAGAAGAAGGAGGAAACAAAGGGAGATAGAGAAGAAAGGACTAAAGTGAAGGAAGACAGGGAGGAGGTTGGGAGGGAGAAAGAAAGAACTACTGAGAAAAGTTCATACATTCAGCTTATTGTTTTTTTAGTCTTTGAAAATTATTAAAGAGACAGGCAGTGTCATTTCAACCTAGAGGAAATCTAAGTGGTAACATCCTGGGGCCCTGGTAGGTCCCTCTCCCATCCTTCCTGAAATAAACTAGGTCTTCTTCCCCTCCATCCCCCACCAGCTTACCTTCACTGAAGACAAAATCTGAGATAATGTCAAAAGGTTGGATGTGGACCGCAGACAGGATCATGGTGACCATCTTCTGTGGATCACTAGAGGCTAGTGAAATGGTTTGTTGAGCTTGACACTCATAGGACTTCCCAGCGGGGGTGACCAAGGCAGAGAGGTGGTGCGAGTTGGCTGTGTGCTTCCCAGCTACAGCAAGATCCCAAAGCAATAGTTAGGCCCCGCTTGCTGGCAGAACTCTCATTGTTCCTAACCTAATGTGCCAGAGAGGTGGTTGTTGCCTCTCAGTTTCAGACCCCACACCCCTCCTGTCCTCTCTGTTCCCTTGTAGGGCTAAGGGCTCTACAAATGGCATCAAGTGGTGATGAAAGACAAACACACCTACTCTCTTGAGAGCCAGGGCTCTTTCAATATTAATTCAGAATTCCTGTTTTGAAGAGGAGAGTGATACCTAAAAACTCAACCCTTGTTACTGAATAATACCTAGGCCGGGCATGGTGGGTCCTGCCTGTAATGCCAGAACTTTCGGAGGTCAAGGTGGGAGGATCGTTTGAGCCCAAGATTTCTAGACCAGCCTGAGCAACATAGTGAGACCCCATCTCTGCAAATACACACAAGAACACACACACACACACACATTACAAAATTAGTCTGGCATGGTGATACAGGCCTGTATCTGGGGAAACTGGGGTGGGAGAATCTCTTGAACCCAGTAACTCACTCCAGGCTGCGGTGATCTATGATGGTGCCACTGCACTCCACCATGGGGACAGAGTGAGAACCCATTTCAAAAAAGAAAAAAAAAATCCCTAATGATGGAGATTCCAAAGACACAGAAGGAACAGTGACTTGGTTTTCTACATTTCACATGGGCCTGACAAAGCCGGACAGATTGCTGGTCCACTGGATGCTTGTCCTTACACACATACATCCCCTCTGAAGGCCTGCGTCCCATTGCTCATTTTCTGACCTAAGTTTGAGTTTTCCTTTTTCCTTTTTGGTCGAATTTAACTGGGGGACATCCTGCATGTAAACTTTGATGAAAAAGAAAAAATCCTCCTTTTACTGTGATGACAAAAAGGGGTGAAAAGGGAAAGATGACACATGCATTTTTATGTATTCATTAAAAATCCTTTCCCAACTCAGGTGCCTGGGTGATGAAAGGCCTCATTAAGAGTGAAACAGACAACTTATAAAGAATAAAATAAATTTAAATGTGGTCTTTGATGGTTTCTGCAGATAGGAATATTGTTATTTGGGGGATGAACGCTCCTTTTGCCGAGGAGGATCTGGGTGAGTTGTCAGAGGGATGGGCCAGAAACGCTAGTAAATTATACATGGTGCAGAGTCCACTCTCAGCTGGCTGCAGTCGATGACTGAATATCCCGTGCGAGCCACGCTGCCATGCGCAAAAAGACACTGAAGGCCGTCACATCCTGACCGAAAAGGAAAGTCGCACTGCCCCCTTGCAGTTTTAGCGCATAAGAAACAAAACCAGGGTGCGGAAGAAAATTAAAATGCAGCTTTGCCCTTCTCCGTGGTCCTTCAAAGGCCAAATCATAAGAGGTCGTTTTGAAGCACCAGGGAACGGCAGATCTTCAAGGGACTTCTCATCTAGGATCAGGCCACGGGTGACGTTTGGGTACCCATGCCTGTGGTTCCTGGCGGATCTGCAAGGCCTGAGACCCAGAAGACTCATGGGCACTCCCGCCTCTTCCGCCCTAAAGAGCAAGCCGAGAAAGACTTGGTCTCGGAGCGCAAAGCCTGGAACGGTTTCCAAAACCCTGAGGAATTCTCTCTCCAAGTCTGCTCTGCGAGTTCCCAGGCTCCTTGCCCAGCCATGCCGGCCTCTACTCACCACTGACTGCATCTTTGAAGTGGGTCTTCTCGGAGGAGTCGTAGACAAACTGCACTTTGCTCAGCCTCCAAGTCGCCTCAGGTCCCTTGGACGTGTTGTGGCTTTCCTGTTGAGCCAGGGAGGCGCGCTTCAATCGCCCCCGCAGCGTTTGGGTTCTTAAACCCGGGGTCCGCCACTTCCCACACCCACGCGCAGCCTGCGTACCCTCTGCCCGCTGGGCTCGGAGTTACCTTTACAAAGAGCATTTTGAGTGCGTAGGCGCGATCCACCCAGAACACTTGCAGCTCCGACTCGCTGTGGCCACAGCGGCCCTTCACCTCAGCTCCCCGGGTCAGTGCGATATCAGCCTGTTCTGTGATCAGCTGGGAACACAGACGCCCCGCGCCCCCTCAGCTCGCCCGGCCCTGGGGCGGGGGCTGTAAAGGGCGGCGCGTCCAAACTCTGGGTTGCACGCTTGGGCGCTCCTTTGCGCGCGCGCATCCCAGGTTCCAGGAACATGCAGTTAGATGCTCTACGTGCAGCCCCGGCCGATAGGGAAGCGGAGAGAAGGGGGTTTACTTTCAAAGCAGGCAGGGGAGCAGAAGGCATTACAAGCTGGAATCCCCATGCAGCATTCAGGGAGCAGCCTGCAGGGGTGTGGGGAAGAAGGCTGGCAACCCAGGTTTCCGAAGGGCCTTGAGGAAGGGTGCCCTTCGCCCTGGAGCCCTAGGAGGAAGCTGAGGGGGAAAAGATTCCTTACATCTACGTAATTGCTGGCCCACACATCATAAGGTACAATAAATTTGGCTGCAAACTCTGCCATGAGACACGTCGTCCCATTTTCCCGCACCACAAATATATCTTTTTCAGGGTTAGTGGAAAGGCCTGAGAGATTTTCCACTTCTTGTTCTGCCATGATTTGAGCCATTGTATCTGCGGAACAAACAAAACAATTCCATCAGTTCAGGACTCAGAGAGCCCAGGCGCCTCGGGCGCTAGTGTGGGGAAACAGTGGTCTGCAGGCTTTGGAGTGACAAAGTTCTCTGCCAGCAGCTGTGCGCTCTACGAGCCTTTTCTCTAGCCCGGGTCTAACAAGCTTCATTCCTTCCCTGTTAATTAATAATGAAAATACGATTTTAAAAATAATTTAAAAATCATGACTTTGTTTGTAATATAGCTGACCGTTTTCTACATCTTGGGATTTTAAACTAAGTATTTCTTGCCAATGCTCTGACTTCACGAAGCTGGCCTGTCTAGGCTCTGTCTGCAATATGCCACACAGGTGTATGGCTCTCACGGGAATTCCCTGCCACCGGCGGGGGAGGCCCTGCCTCCTGCCCTAAAAGAAAAGAAAAAAGAAAAAAAAAACCCAGCAAAACATTAAGGGCCATATTTTTTTATCTTAAGCTAATTGGCTTTACTTTGCCGGCTCTGTTCTCTGCACAGAGTGCATCCTGTCCTCTCCCCGTCGCCAAATCGCTACTCACGGAACAACATCAGGAGAACTCGAAGTCTGTCGACGCTGGGGACCGCTCTTCCTTGGAGATCCATACTCGCAGTGCAGCGAATGAGGCCAGCTGTGCTACTGCAGAGGCCGCCCGAGAGGGAATCCCTCAAAGTCGCCGCTGGAGTGGGCCGGGGTGAGCGAGGGGCGGGGGACAGAGAAGGAGGAGGGAGGGAGCGCGTATTCTGTGAGCGCTGGCTAGGACTCCGTGTGGAGTGCGGCACCGACAGCTGCTGGCAGAGCAAATCAGCTCACTGCAGAGGAAAGGACCGCGCGGCGAGGGAGCTGTCCACGGCTGCGAGTGCTGAAAGCGATCCGATTGTGTGGCAGGAGTGGCTGTGGCTTGGCTTCTGCGGAGGGCCAATGAGATTTGGGGGTACCTAAAATTCTCCCTGGTTCTGTTTCCTGTTCTGCAATTGCATCCGCAAATATGCGTCTGTTCTGAGAAACTTAACACCACCCTCAGACTTCTTAAATCTCCTTATCAGGTACAGTTATTACATGGTGTAGATACCATACCACTGGAATGGTATCTGGTTCCTGAAAGAAAATGCATCTGGTTCCTGGAAGAAAACGGTGGAGCAAAAATTGTTGCTGCTTTGAGGGAGGAGGGCTATGTAGGAATAGAGAAGAGAAAATGCTATGGCAACAGTTTCCTGAATTTGGAGACATCCCTTTCTCTCCCTTGCTCTCAATGAGCTCATGGGTTTAAAGTAAAATTGACGCCTCCTCAAACGAAGCCATCAGACAATGCAGTAGCTCCATGTGGGCTTATTTTCCTGTAAATTTTGCTCCCGGGAGCATGAGGACTCTGAACTCTGGGATCACCTATCCTCTTGCATTATACCGTGACCACTCAGCCAAGAAGGGATGCAAGCAAATCAGAAGTTTTTGAGAGTTATCTATTATCTCTTAGGACAGAAATTTTAGAATTATGCCCTAAATAATGTCACATAGCTATGTAAGAAAAACACACACTGATACTACTCTAAAGCCTCTAGTGGAACAGAAAAACAAATATTACTGGGCTAATTCCTATATTTACATATTTGGTAGCTTGCTTATTTTTAATTTTTGCTCTATAAATCAGAATACAGCTTTCAAAAATACACATGCAGTCCTCATCAATTGTAGTGATGTCCAAATATTTTATTCCTTAGAAGATATTTCATGATGCAAATAAATGTTGTATCAGTAATATAATGTTATAAAACAATGTCATAACAAAGGGAAAATTGCAAAGTATTTCACCTGCATTATCTAATTTGATTCTCTCCAATCTTAGAAGGTAGGCAAGGAAAGATACGAGTTACTGTGGTTTTACATACCCCAAAACTGAGGCTCAACTAAACTAAATGATCTTCCCAAATGTCACATGGTCAGTTAGAATTAAAATACAAAAATCACATGCTTTAACTCTGTAAAGATTATCTTCATTTCTCCTTACATAATATTTTTACTCCATATTTTGATTTCCATAAAAATCTTTATTCAATATCAAATATTAATCTGAAACCTGAAATCTCTATCATTAATTCACATTCTTGAAATTTATAGAATGCTGTTTTAAATATAATCACATTCTGACATATCTGCCACGAAGTATCTATATAATGCTTTGGCTTTCAAACATATTCCTATATCAATCATTAGATCACTAGCAATTCAAATTATAAAGTAATATTAAAATTGATACTATACTTTGACATTTTGACTCTCATGCTTATATTTCAGTGTTTCATCCAAACATTTCTCAAGAGCTTTACAAAGATGATTATATATAGAAGAATTGGTACAAATTTTACAGGAGAACTTAACAGAAATGATTTTATACAGAAGATTGATATAAGGTCAATTCTTACCAGTTGAAAGTGGAAGATATAACATTTGTATGTGTTACATTTTTTTCACGTTAGCAATCATTATTAATCACTTATTTTCCTGCAGTAATGGAAAACTGGAAAACAATGAGACATGTAATGAAGTATTTATTCTCTCTCTCTCTCTCTCTCTCTCTCTCTCTCTCCAGTATTTTATGAGGACAGAAATTAGTAGATTTCAGTTCAGGATTCACTACTTATTACTTTTGTGATCTTCTAAAGATTTTATTTTTTCTCACCTGTAAAATTGGTACAATAACTCAGAGGATGGCTAGTTAGACCAAATGGGCCAATGAATATAAAAGCATTCTAAACAAATTACAAATAGATCCATAAACACTAACCGAATATGTACTACTTCTGGTATGCTTGATGTTTTGAAAACCAAAAGATATTTATCATTACACAAATAGGAGAGATACCTATAAGAGATTATGACAATTTCTCTTGTGACATGTTATTGCAGATATCTTCATTATATAAGTTGCTAAAAGATCAAATGAATTAATTATCATCTGCCTTAATGATAAAAGACTAAATGAGTAGTAGCATTGGTCATTGATCTTAAAATGTTGTAGTTGATTTACAGATCAGATGGTTGTTCCTTTGAAAATTATACCTGATATAAATGATCTCTTCGCTGACACTGGAGAGTGTACCCTAGAGTACTCAAATGAGTTGAAAAAAGAAAGGAAGCAATTTTAACCCTTTTTGGGGGGAGGATTATTGTCAAAGCACAATCAGTTCAATGACTTTTTAATGTTTAATCTTAAACATGGCTAACAAATGCCCATTAATTTATCATCTTATCCACTATGATACATTGCAATAGGAGTTGGGTCATTATACCTACAACTTTCACTTATATTAATTAAATATCTTTCTAATCATTCTGAAAAAAGTCTTTGGTTCTCTAAAATAAGCAAAGAGGTGATCAAGGAGCAAAATTTACCATTAAATTGCATTTTAATATATTAACAATGTTTCCCAGAATTTGTTCTATTTTTCATTTCTCAAGTCTAAAAGATGGTAGGATAAATTGACAAAAATATGTATACCTGCATAGGTGGTGACTGTGTCAAATTTTATTATTGCTGTTGGTGGTCAATAGAAATTGTTACGGTGTGATGTGACCTAAATACACTGGATTTGGGATCTCCTCTAGATCCTTTAGGTCCTTCAAAGGCTGTTTTTCCATTCATATAGATACTTACTGAATTAGCCTTTATGAATCTCATGCCATTGAGTGGTTGCTGCTTTATAAAAGTGCAAGAAGAGGCCCCTGCATAGAACTTTCAATTTAGATGAGAAAAAATAATAATTTACATAAGATGCCAGTTAGCCTGGCACAGTGTCTGCATAAATGTTTAGGGGGAAAAAAAGTAAGACAGGCATCCCAGGTGGGAGAGTGGTTGAAATTGACCAAAAAAGGCCTCTTGGAGAAGGTGAGTCTTGAAAGAAGTTGACAAACTGATGTAGGGTGGAAGGAAGGATGCAGATAGAAGAAATATCTATTGAATAGGGAATCAATGCAAAGATGTAACTCTTCATCTGTCCATATTTATCCATTTGCAATAAAAAGCAAATTAGGCCCTAAATTCACAATGCCTTACGTACTATAGAACCCCTATTTTATTTCCTTATTTGATAATTTACCCACATATGGCATATGTAAAAGAATGGTATATGCAAAATTTATTATAAATAAAATTAAACTTTTCAAGTTGTTAGAGGCATCTTTTTATACTTGGTTGTGCAAGCAATTGACTTGTTTTTGTAGAATCAAGCAACAAAATTACGAAAATTAATGAACAATCCTAATAAGAAAGGCATATTCATGAGCGTCAAAAGGAAAAGGCTGGGCTTTGTTGCAGCTGAAATTTGGTTTATTGGCATTTCAGTCCACTTTACATCAAAGTGTAAAAATGTACTCCTTGCTCTGTTGTCCCCACAGACATCAAGCCATCCCTCTGCAACCCACACGCAGACAATGGAAGCACACCCGAATAACAGAAGCAGAAATAATTTAAACAAGCAAGATGCACACAGCTGTTAAGCCAGACTTTCTACTCACCAAAACCTTTTCTTGTGTTCAGTTTGTCATAGAACAATTATTTCATTTAATCATTGCCTTCGAAGACCTTTGCAACCCTTTCTAGGATCTAAACCCTTGTGGGATAGAAACTGAAAAATAAATGTATGCACAAGAATTATTTTTCAGTTTCTATCCCACAAGGGTTTAGATCCAGAGCAAAGAGTACAAAAATAAGTGTCTGCCTGAGCAATGTATGCACCAGAATATTTTGCGCATACATTGCTAAGCTCTAGAATCTTTGGAAAGTATAGGAAAATTGAGTTTAGGCTCCAATGCACTCAGTCTGCATGCCCTTGGTATAATTTCCCTCATCCTAGTACTTCTTTGGTGTCTCCTGCATCTACTCTAATGAAACAATGGTTATTTCTGCAATAAGGGTAACCAGTAGAGGAAATAAACCACCAGAATGATGGCCTTTTTATTGGCTATGTTCACACTAAGTCCTGAAAAAAAAATCATTTATGAGTTCATTTAGAAGAATTGCCTTCAGCATAGGGGAATATAGAGAAGAGCATCCTTATAGTAAACCCTGAATAAGTAAATGGTGAGGGGCCAGGTAATCATTCCTCAAAATTTCAGTAGCAAATAAATCATTTTTGTCTTTTGAATCTGTGATTAGTTAACTGTTTTGGTCAGTCTTACATTTTGGGTCAGTGATACACAATTCACTCTGCTATCTCAGCAGTGAGGAAAACCTTGTTAACTTGTGGGCAGGGGACCTTTCTGTAAGGTTGAATTAAAAGTCATTTGAGGATTTTAAAAAATCTTTAATAAGTCTGTTCTCCAAGAAATGACATCTGTCACAATAGGCCTAAGGTTAGACAAGCTGTGTCTCATGTAACATATTTTGCTACCTGAATTCTGTGACAATGCAGTACCCTAAAAATCTCTGAGATATCACAGGAGTTCATTGTTCCCTTGATTAGTCTCTCTCTCTCTCTCTCTCTCTCTCTCTCTCTCTCTCTCTCTCTCTCTCTCTTTTTGAGACTCTCACTCTGTCGCCCAGGCTAGAGTGCAGTGGCACAATCTTCACTCACTGCAACCTCTGCCTCCTGGATTCAAACTATTATCCTGCCTCAAGCCTCCTGAGTAGCTGGGACTACAGGTGTGTGCCACCATGACTGGCTAATTTTTTGAATTTTTAGTAGAGACGGGGTTTCATTATGTTGGCCAGGCAGGTCTCGAACTCCTGACCTCATGATCTGCCTGCCTCAGCCTCCCAAAGTGCTGGAATTACAGGTGTAAGCCACCGTGACTGGCCAAGTTACTCTTTTAATTGTCTATCTGAAATTATCTGCATATTAACTTGAAGATGTGTTTGGAACTAAGGAAAACTTATATTAATGGCCTTTGGGAAGGAGGGTGAGAGCGGAGTCCAGAGTCCACTGTCTCCTATTGAAGCTTTGCTGGCATTGTAGCTGGAGTCCTGGAATTCCCTGGGGTGCTCTGATGTAAGTTGAGGACTCTCTCTCTCTCTCTCTCTCTCTCTCTCTCTCTCTCTCTCTCTCATTGTGAAAGCGTAGCAAGATGTTTTAGTAACAAGGTAGTCCAAAGAGGAGAGTGTATTGGAAAGGCGAATGGGATGGGAGTCTAAGAAGCGATATGTTAGTTATGACTGTATTACTCTATTAGCGACAACATCTGGAAGGAGTGGCTTCATTTCTCTGGTCTTCGACATACATTTCCTAAAGGATCGCTCCAGGACTACATGCCCCAAGCCTCTGAGTGATCTTAGTAGGGAAGTA